CTGGGGCCTGCATTTCATGCCCGCAGGTGCAGGTAGATAGGCTTACGGTCCCCCTTCTTAGGATCCTTGTTCAGCGAGAGTTGGTGTGCTCCATTTGATCCGGAGTTGTTTTTGGGTTTTGGTACGACATGTTTGTATACATATATGGGTATGACGGGGCCCAGTTTCGTCCTTTAAATAGTTGTACACTCTATTAGAGGTCTGTAGACAGTCATGTATAGTTGGATAATATGTGGCCTTGTTGGCTTCTAGTTTTGGATATATAGTTGTCTATAGCAGCATTGTCGGCTCGCCCTACAGTATTCTGCATGTATATGTATATATGTCTTTTGGACATGTTTTCCTCACATATGTTATTCACGTTATTCAGCAGTTTATTGACATATGTTATTCATGACCTACCCTTAATTCATGTTTATATCTTAGACGCATGCTTAGGGGTGTTCGACAGGTAGGACTCAGACACTCGTCATGGCCCATCGGTTTGGGTCGTGACATGCGGTCCACCACAAGTAAAGCATCCTTTGAATTTGCCACTTCCTTCCTTGCCATTGGAAGTCTCCGCATGCCTCCCATTCTTGGCATACCCTTCATCTTCAGCAGCTTGGCCTTTACCATTTTTCTTCCATTCTTTTTCTTTGTCTTTCATTCCGTTAGACTTTGAATGCGAAGATTCAACAAGGTCATCACCTAAATTGAAGTTAGCTAACACATCTGCCACCACAATAGCAGTAGATATGCTTTGAACATTCTGCCTTCTCAACTCTAATTGCGCCTAGCCCTTTAACCCGCTCATGAAGTAATACAGCTTATCTTCTTCTGCCATATTACTGACATTCAGCATCAAGGATGAGAATTCCTTGACATACTCCCTCACCATGCCACTTTGTTTCAAGCGACACAGTCCATCTCTTGCAACCCATGATGAGTTGCTTAGAAGGAATTGAGATTTTAATTCCTTCTTCAGCCTCTCCCAAGTTTCAATCTTGGGCAGTCTAGCGCTTTGCACTTCCACAACTCGTGTACGCCACCACACCTTTGCATCATTAGTTAAATACATAGGTGTGATGGTCATGTTTTCTTCATCTTGCAAACGAGCAGCCTGGAAATACTGCTCCATATCTCACAAGAAATTTTTCAGTTCTTTGGCACTTCTTGCACCACCATAAGCCTTTAGCTCCGGAATCCCCACCTTGGTGCGATCATCCTTTCTAGGGGCAGTGATTTGTAATGCCCTTCGAAGTTGAACCACCTCCTCGTGTAGTTCTTCCATTTCCTTGCATACCAAGGCCATTTCTGCGAGCGTAGTCTCATGCCTCAGCGCATAATCTGCCTCCAAACGTGCCATTCTCGCAAGAACAGAAGAATTATCGCCTATTTCAAGAGCGTGACCAACGAGTGCTACCAATTGTTTCACCCTTTGGCGCAGTTCAGCATTTGTGCCACCAGACATGTTCTCAAACAATACCACGAAATCTACTATTGGTCGTCTTGCCACCGCCACGAAGCTACTTCGCTCTGATTCCAGTTGTAACAGGGGCATTTTTAGTCAGCCCAAAATCACACCCGCGCGGCAGTCAAGTTGCGCACTTGACTCAGCCTTCCTAACACTTAGCCAAATTTTCAGCAAGTTTATATTAGAATTAATTTAGGCAGCAAAAGTAAAGAGAACACAATCAAATACGGAAAAATTCCAACCTTTGTATTAATTCAAAAACTTACAAAGGAAACCCTCACTTGACTATGATCTCAAGTCGATCACAGCCCCACTTTGACAAAAAACACAAGTCGTTCTTTAGCCAACTCTAAGACCTGCCCAATGCCTAGCCTTAGTCCCTTTTGAAACACTTAGAAATCCTCATGTTTCACTCTTGTTTCTCTTTTGAATTTCACACGAAATCCCCATATAAATTTGACTAAGTCCAAAGGCACCTATTTATAGCACATAAGGCAACCTTTGGCACTTGACACCACATTGTTACTTATTGCCTACAACTTTTGTCACTCGGCGGGCTAACGCTAAATCTGTTCCTATCTTGTAGTTGACATCCCCTACTACATAGGCCATGCTTTACACGAAATGATAGTGGATACAAGTACTAAACAGACATGGGGTACAAGTAGTTACAAAAAAGTAACCGCCAACTACTTTGGCATGTGCAGTTTTGCTGGCCAGCTGCTGCACGCCCAAGGCTCGCATAGCGCCCAACCTTGGCTCCTTTTGATATTGCTCTGCACCAATGTCTTGCCCGTAACCCGTTGCTCATGACTTTGTCGCACACGCCCGACGCCACTGCCACATGCACATGTCTTGGCCGAGTTTCTGCCTTGTACACGTCAACCCTTGTTTCACCCGTGCCATTGCTTGTATTTTACTTCACATAACCTTGTCTTAGATATTTAAAGCCTTTGCCATCATCCCGCACTGCCGTTCCTTAGCTTAGCCCGCACTTGGCACTACCACATGCACATGTCTTGGCCGAGTTTCTGCCTTGTACACGTCAACCCTTGTTTCACCCGTGCCATTGCTTGTATTTTGCTTCACATAACCTTGTCTTAGATATTTAAAGCCTTTGCCATCATCCCGCACTGCCGTGCCTTAGCTTAGCCTGCACTTGGCACTGCCACAACCCAAAGTACCAGTGTAATTGACTTTGCTGCGCATACCATGCCATGCCGCCTCAACTTGCCCACACTGCCTTGTCAAGCATGTCTTGCCTGCCCCAAGACCTTGGCCAATACTTACCCACAATATCCCACATGACAATTTATTGCCCATTGCCCGCATGATCGTTTTGCCCGCACATCGGCAAATGGCAAGGCCATCACGCCCAATCCTTGCCACAGCCGCGCCACGCCCGATATCAAAGAGTTAGGCCCTAACACTAAGAGGTCGTTTGGTAGCCGGTTAGAGATGAGTTATCCATGTATTAAAATTAGGATAACTTTATACACTATTTGATTAAAAGAAGGGGGAAAAATAATCCCCACATAGAAGCTAGCATAAGTTATACAATGTTTGGTTGTTTTTCCTCTTTTCCACATAAAATGTAGCATTGCTAATACAATGTTTGATTCATGTTTTTATTTTCCGCATAACTAATACATGTATAAGTTGTGAGAGAATCTATATATTATTTATGCAGGGTAGAAGGTGGAATAACTTATACATGTATTAGTAATACTTGTATTAAAACACAAAATGACAAGAATACCCTTTATTCAAACTTGTATTTTTTTGTTTAAAAATATATACTTAAACTATATTAACAATTTTTATAAAATAAAGTAAGCTAATAATAAATAACACTCATATTATATTTATATTACTAATCCTTATATAACTACCCATAACTAATCACCGCATAACTAATCCATGCATTACTCAACCTTGCATAACTTATCCCTGCATAATTAATACATGCATTACTTATTCCTGCATAACTAATATATGTATAACTAATACTTATATAACTCTAACCGGCAACCAACTAACCACATTTGCGGAGGGACTTAGAGTAGAGAAAGAACGTTATAAGCCGCAATTAGCGGAGAATAGAGGCAACAAAATGGGATCCGCACACTGCTTAACGCTTTGCTGTTTCCATGTGGATACACTAAAAATGATCACGCTCTCCACCCACTATATATATTACTACTACTTCTATTATTCATCATAGTGTTGGATTTATAACAATTTTCCGTTGACTTAATTTTTAAGGCACACGGCATACGCGGCCCTTTTGTTCACCTCATTATATTTCGTTCCTCATTCATTCTCTGTCTCACATTTGGACTTGCCGGCCGCGTACATGCATGATCCCAGCTGCTGCATATCCAATCTAGCGGTTAATGATTTGTTTAGAAACGAGCTTTTAAAATCAGTAGATACAAGATAATTTTATACCTCGAAATACCTTTGTATTTGTGGATTTTAACTTGGGGTACTATTATTTTAGCCAAAAAATATTATTTATATTCGTTGGCCGAAAAAGTGTATAAAATTTATATAATTTTATATATAGTATACATAATATATATATATTTTTTCGATTATTATTTTGAGAGCGGCTATATAACGTCATTTTTTATTTACACTTAATATGAATTTGTATTTCGTGAAAGTTTATTTTAGTATATCTCTGCTTTGGGTCAAAGTTCAAATACTATACTCTGTGCATGATTTGCTGGCTCTCCATCACGCAATTGATGAGAGGCCAATGAGGCAATGACCAAGATATTTCACTTTGAAAACTTGCATTCAAGTTTTCCCCAAAATATAAGGAAATAGACAGCCCAACTAATATCATTATTTCTGCTTTGCAGAATTAAAAGACAACACAATGCAGACCAACACGACAGAGAGATTACCGAGGTTTAAAATCTCCACTTTCAAACTTGGAGTTACAGAATATAAATGTAGTGTGTAATTTGACATGCACTTTTATTATAATTAGTGATATACATTTTTATACTTGCATATTACATGTTTTTTTAACATCAATTCCAGCTCGCAATTTATTGTCGTTGAAGTGTTATTGAAACTCATTCCAATTTCCAAACTAGTTTGGGGTCTACCATTTTGTCATATAGTACTAGTTATTACTCCTACCATCCTAATTGTAGTCTAAAAAAGTTCATAAAATTTGAAATTTTGAAAGTGAACTGTGAAAGTGTAGATTTGGAATTTTTTTATTTAAAATACACTTTCAAACCACAATTCAAATAGAAAATTTTTGGTTCAAATTTTTGTTTTCACTTTCACAAACAAGCAGGGTTTATATATTACTATTTACTACATGTCGAAACGTCAAATTATGCAAGTGGATTTTACAACCCAACACCAAATAATTATTAAATCCTGTTGCTCATTCTGCTTCACGAAAGAACTAAGAAGACTGCAATTATGTTTATGTTGGTTTAATAATTAATAAAATGAAGTGATAACTTGTGACACTAAATTATTGCAGGAGTGAGATCTTAAAGGCAGAAGCATCTAGGAAAAAGTGAAAGCCCATTTGTCTCCTAAAACTTTGTATAAAAATCACACCAGAATCAGACATCAGTACATGTCACCTACGACACAAAGAAAAAAGCTCTGTATACACGCACTTCTCCAAATTCCAACCCTCACATTCCCATTTAAAGTTACAAAATCTGATAAAGAATCTCAAATTTTCAATCTTTTTTCTGATCTAATGGATACAATCAAGTCTTTCAAAGGCTATGGCAAAGTGGACGAAGTAGAAGAACAAGCTTTCAGGAAAAAAACACGTAAGCGTCTCATTATCTTAATTGTCTCTGCCATTCTTCTCCTCATTGCAGTTGTAGCCATAGTTGTTGGAACAGTTGTTCACAAAAATAACCAAAAAGACTCCTCCAACTCAAAGCAAATCCCTTCAACTACCTCTACTGCCCAATCCTTAGAAGCTCTCTGTAGCGTAACTGAGTACAAAGATTCTTGCTTTTCAAGTTTATCTAATTTAGCAGCCTCAAATACCACTGACCCAGAAACGCTATTTATTCTTTCTTTAAAACTTGCCAAAGATTCCCTAGTCAATTTGTCTTCGGTACAACAAAATTGGTCCAAATTGACTAAAGAACCTAAAGTACAGCGCGCTCTTGAAGTCTGTGAGAGTGTATTTGACGATGCAATCGATAAGCTCAACGACTCTGTTTCATCAGTAAATGTGAACGAAGGCCAGAAGTTGCTTTCAGGACCAAAAATTGATGACCTCAAGACTTGGTTGAGCTCAACATTAACAGATCAAGAAACATGTTTGGATGCACTTGAAGAAATGAATGCTACATTTGTGAACGATGTTAAGCTTTTAATGAAAAACTCAACTGAATATGCTAGTAACAGTTTAGCTATTGTGGTTAATATTTTGGGAATTCTTGGTCAATACAACATTCCAATTCACAGGAAATTGTTGAGCAATGAGTTTCCCGAATGGGTTCGGCCCGGTGATAGGAGACTTTTGCAAGAGGTTAATCCGAAACCAGATGTGACAGTGGCAAAAGATGGAACAGGAAATGTACTGACTATTCAAGAGGCGGTGAAAAGGGTGCCTAAGAAGAATAAAGTAAGATTTGTGATATATGTGAAAGCGGGTGAATATGTTGAAACTGTGAGAATGGACAAATCTATTTGGAATGTGATGATGTACGGAGATGGCAAAACTAAGACCATTGTTTCCGGCAGCTTGAATTTCATTGATGGAACTCCAACTTTTGATACGGCCACATTTGGTAAGTTTTCATCTTTCACCTCTAATATGCCATTAGACAAATTTTCCGTTAATTTCTTGCTATTTTATCTGTCTAAAATCAAATTCAAGCGGTAATTTCACACTAAACACAAATGCATTTGAGCTTTTGTTACTAACAACAATGCCGTTTGGGTTAGTAATAGAAATTCAAAATTAATTGTTATTGAACTTACATGGTTAACTACTACATTAGACAACTGAATCATATTTTTAGTGGAATTATTTAGATCTTCCTCTTGTTTTAAAATTAGTGTAGCTGATTAAAAATGTACAAGATTAAAGGAAGGGTAAACTCTGTTGGTTGAAGAAAATGAAGTCTATCAACAGTTTTATAGGATTTTTGTCAAAAGGAGCTATGTATAAGAAATTGACTCTCATGTTTTCTTTCTTGCATTTCTTTTTCTGTTTTGTTTTTGCGGCTATACCTATTTAAATGTTTAAGCTCCAGTTTGATCATAAATTTTGATTTTAATTTTTCAAAAATTTTATGAAAACATTATTTGTTATGAAATATGATTATATTTTGAGGAAAAAATTTAAAAAATTTCAAATTCAAGCGATTTTTGGGTGAAATCTTTTATTCCACGCGTAAAATTTCAACTAGGTTGAAATAAAATATATGTCCAAATATTGAATTGCTTGGTACATCGAATAGCGAACGCGTGGAATCATGTTAAGCTATGTTAGCATGTGGGGTAGATGGCCTTATCAAGACGATTCAGTGTGTCATCAGAATGGCACATGGCTTTTGTTTTGTAGCCATGTGATTTGATGCCTCAATTTGCTCATCCATGTCAAATCACTTGCTGACTAGTGGGTTAGCTTAGACATTCACAAAGTAACATGCTTATTAAAATGGCATCCTGTGTACATCATTGTAGATTGACCATTTTTCCTGTCCCCTTTTGGATTTAGCCTGCCTTGTCACTTCTAGTGAAAAATGAGATAGAAAAATAGTCAAGGACAGTAAAGAATTGGCTGCAACTTAAGCAGACCTGCTAAATTAAGGACCCCCTTTAGCCATAGATTTTCGCAGCTTATTTTGAAGTTTGTCCAAATACAACTTTTAACTTCCAAAATATATTTTTCAACCCACGAAAGCTCATTTGTCAAGTTTCAACTAAATGTATATCTAAGCGCTAGCTAAGTTGTGTATGTGTTGAGGTACAGTTAGCAATTTTACCTGCTAAAGATTGGTTCAATTTGTAATTGTATCAGCTGTTGCTGGTAGAGGATTCATAGCCAGAGACATGGCATTCAAGAACACTGCTGGAGCAGCGAAACATCAGGCCGTGGCCATGCGATCGCAGTCCGATCACTCTGTATTTTACAGGTGCCTCTTTGATGGCTTCCAAGACACACTCTATGCTCACTCCAATCGTCAATTTTACCGCGAATGTGACATTACAGGCACCATTGATTTTATCTTTGGTAGTGCCGCAGTTGTTTTCCAAAGTTGTAAAATCCAGCCCAGGCAGCCCCTGCGCAATCAGTTTGTTACCATTACGGCCCAAGGGAAAAAAGACCCAAATCAGAACTCAGGCATGTCTATTCAAAAATGTGATTTGTCACCATTGGATGATCTCACTGCTCCAACATATTTGGGCAGGCCTTGGAAGCAATATTCGACTACCGTCATTATGCAGTCGAATATTGCTTCCTTCTTGCATCCTGTAGGTTGGATTGAATGGGTTCGAGGCGTAGAGCCCGCCGACACCATTTTCTATGCCGAATACCAAAACACAGGCCCAGGTGCAGGTGTGGCCCAAAGGGTCAAATGGGCTGGTTATAAGTCCAGTATCACACCAGCTCAGGCCGCCAAGTTCACAGTACAGTCTCTCATACAAGGAGATACTTGGTTACCAGATACAGCAGTGGTCTTTGATTCCTCCTTGTAAGACGGTTGCTTCTCTAGGAAGTAAAAAACATCAGTTTCTTTTTATTTGAAATCAGTTATTTTGCAATGTACTATGTGTATTCTTTTTCTCGCAACAACATTCTTTTAACCCACAGGAATATGCTTGTAATTCTATGAAATTAGCAGTGTACTATCATTATGTGAAGAAAACTGACACACATGATTTACTTTGCAAGATTAAAATATCAGTAACAAATAGCGGAAACTATCATTAATTCGTTTAAAGATAGTTTCGCCTTCCTTTTTAACGCCTTTTCTTTCTTTCCTTTTGGTCAGGAGTGTACATGGACCGGGTTAATTCAGTTTTTATCAAAATCAAACCAAATCAATTATATCGGTTTGGATTGATTCGATTTTATTGGATTTTTCGGGTTTTTCGTTACTTATATTTCAATCTTACTTTGTTAAATTTTTTCAAAAGTAAATATATATTTAGTAAAAAAATATAAAAATTGACAAACATATTATTTATTAAAATATTTTTATGGGAGAATTTTTTTAGCAACACATAATGGTTATTTTTTTAGTTGTCTGACAATAATTTTTCGTTGATATACACTTTCAAGGTTAACCAAATTTAGTAATTAAACATAAAAATCAATATGATACCTAAATAATACTAATCACTTCACATTCGAAAAAGATATAAGAATTTAATAGATCTTAACACATGACATGAAAATGGAAGAACAAAGAGGTTGACACATTTTGAGTAACACTTGATAAAAAGTAATCATACAACCCATTATTTAAGGTTAATAAATATGGAGCACTTCATATTCTATTAAATAAATATTATATTCCACAAGAGAATCACAAATATTTCTAGATATTTTTTTAAAGAAAATTCTATATAAAATCTTAAAAGTATATATAAAAATTATATATTTATATGTCGGTTTGGTTCAGATTTTTTACTCAATACCAAACCAATTCATACCAAACCTAATCGGGGTTTTTAATCGATTTAGTTTGACTTTTTGATTTGGTGTGGTTTTCTAATTCGGTTTGTACTGGTTTGTAAATAAAGAGGGATGGTGGGAGGAGCTAGAGTGCGAAGAACAGGTTCGGCCGAACCCAGTAGCTTTGGTTTGAACCCTATATTTGTTTTAAAAAATTTGTTAAATATATATAAATTATTAATTTCTAACCCAGTAACTTAAAGCGATTAAAATTTTATACTCGTAAGCTTGAAATGCTGGCTCTACCTTGATTGAAAGACAAGTTAAGGAAGAAATGGTCGAGACTCCATAGTTAGGTAGTCACCCTATAGTGTTTAATGAAGGGAATAATAGCTCTTCATGGTCCAATGGAGTTTTGAAGGTATTTGACATTTGGGCCATGTTCTCCAAAGACAACCTATAGCCTACTTGGCCAAGTTTTTTGGAAATCAAAAGTGGTTATTGTTTAAACAAATATTTATTTTAGAGATTTAAAGTGTTAGTTCGAGCTTTTAGAAAAAATAAGTACTTTTAAGTAGTACCATAAACTATTTTTTAAAAGCTTAAAAAGTTTTTTCCCTGAAACACAAATTGTTGTTCTAATATATTACCAAAAGTAATTTTTAAATTGATTATTCAACACAAACTATTACTCTCTAAATGTATTTTTTTGCAAATTACTGTAACGGTAAATCATTTTTCTAAATAAGCATATTTTAGAAATTTGGCCAAATAAACTAAAAGTCTTAAATTATCACGCCATAAAATATTACTTTAAACAAGCCGTTAACTGTTTCAAATAAAAAGATATGCAATTCCTTTTAAAATAAATTAATATAAAGATAGTGCCACATACCATAAAAAAAAAGAGATGAAATATATGGTCATCTTTTATTTTAGTACATATTTTGTTGCAACAACCCAAGAGCTGTAGTCGATTGAAGTAAACAAAATGGTTTGATAGCACTCTAGGCCTTTCTAAATGATTGTTATTTTACAGGGAAGTTGATAAAGACGGTGTAATATAAAGGGACAGATAAGATCGAGTAACGGAAAAGGAGTTGAAAGTTCTCAACGGAGCAGCTAGGCTTTGTCATTTTGTATCCAACGATAGTGCTCGAAATTTAATGAAAATTTAGTCATAAAACTCCATTAATTAATGGTGTAAAAGTATAAAACTATATATTTAGAGACGGGAGCCTTTTGCCTTGCTTTTCTTTCCAAACCCTTGCAGATACCCTGTTCGTAAGCGAAAAAAATATTCATTTAATTCTGTTGGCATTATTCTTCATTTAAGCATATTATAACTAGCCTGAATATTTTATTACACTTTACTCCAAATATTAATTCAAAACTTCATGTTAGTTTTTGCATGAGACACGCAAAGCGAAATTCGGTGGAAGAAGAAATACTATAATGATAAGTGTATAAATGAGCTTCTATTTGTTTGGTACTTGATTTGTATAGCATCACTTATCAACTACTACATAAAGTAGAGTAAACTTCAACAAAAGATGAAAAGGAGTCATTTTCGTAAAAATTATTCATGCAAATGTACATTTATATTCTAAAGCGTAGTTGAGTTTTGTTCATTAGACCAGGGGACGAACTAAACATTATCTGGCCAGAACTCCCTAAAAATTGCTCGCTCAAATTCTTTTTCTTGCATGCGGTTCTCAAACTCGAATACTTTCTTCATCTTTTTAGAGATTCCCTTTGTTTTCTGTACATGAGACGCTTTTTCTTTCTCCCCATCTTTTACAATCTTCCGCCCCAAGAAAAGCCCGGAACTTTTAAGGTGCTCTGCTGCCTTCTTTGACTTCTCTGCTCCCAACCCTCTCTTATTTTTCTTGATATAAACTGGCACGGGCTCCAATCTGCCCTGTTCAGCAATGCCAAGTCCAGTTCCTTCTCTCCAGCCATACTTTTTCAACAACTTAAAACCAAGGTTGGAGGAATGAATAGGAATTGAGGTTAAAGAAGCACACGTTGCAGCATAACTCGTAGACATTCCCAAACCGGCGGATTCATATTCTACTCCTCCTCCACCCGATCTCATATCTTTGAATTCACTTTCCTATTTCTCGCTCCTAAGAGCAGAAGCCAGAATCGAAAAAATATAGAAGCCAAAAATTCCTTCTAAACAGCAAAAGATGGAAGAAATCTGAGTCACCGACTCTACAACGACCACCTCCTTAAACTAAAAAAATTATCTCTGCAAATTGGTATCAATGCTCTTTTACCAATTTGAAAGATTGAAATACCCGAAAAATAATTTAGGCACAATCAAAAAACTCCACTATAAGGTATATAGAATAAATTTATCAAACTAGAGAGAATATTTTATGAGACTTTTTCACAATTCAGAAACGCTTGAATCTCTCTATAAGAAAATAAGTAACAACACCCCTATTTATAATACTACAAACCAAATTTGACTAGATTAACAAAACCAATTTCAATAAGAACTATATAAATAAATCTAACTAGACATGAATTTAATAAACTGCCAAATACCAAATCCTACACAACTTAGGAATACTAATTAATTTTAATTTAATTTTCAACATACATGAATAATATTAGAAGTCCAACTCAAGTAATCAGATTTCTAAAATCAAATTGCATTGATTAAGATATTGTCATTGTATCCTTAAATTACATAGGTAAACAACATTCTTTTAACCCACAGGAATATGCTTTATGAAATTAGCAGTTCATTATGCCAAAACTTCAATCGAATGCGGTTTTTCTGCAAAATTCTCTAAATATATTTATAGATTGAGTATGGTATTTTGTTGGTATTGAGTATACGTTTTTCTTCCTTTTAAGTTATGATTGAAAATCCTGTATGTCATACAGTCATATGATTAAGTCAAATATCTCTAGAATATTTTAAATTATTGAATATTATAGAAAATAATGCGTTTAAATGAATCCAAACTAAATTCGAGATTCTGTATGTCTGTTTAACTAATTTGAAGTTGAGGTGCAATTTTTATTGCTGTAATTTAGGAGAATTGACGAGGTATTTTATGTGAAGGGACAAAACAACGGTAATAAAATAAAAAAAATAACGTCATACTATTTGTGCGATTATAAAAATTTCTCATTAAAGATATAATGATAATTTTAAGCAAAATTATTTATAAATTTAAAAAAGCTAACTTTTTTGAAACGGACAAAAATGTAAATAGCTTTAACAACTGGAACAGAGTACTGCCACTAAAATATAGATACAGTGGGCGGCGGAGGCTATATCAATGAGTCAGAATACATTGTCAGAGAGTTTCGTACTAATCCTAAGCCAATGTTGTAACGTGGGCAGAAAGTCAAAAAGCACTGGATTCGTGTAAACAGCGGTAAAAAATTCTTGGAATCTTAACACTTTAACCGCTGTTTAACTCTCCGCCCATTGTTCAGAATTGCACAATGCGGAGATTCGTAGCTGACAAAGCCAAAAATCTCATCACTAAAACCAGGACCACCTATTCTTCTCCTAGTAGTAGTACTACTACTTGCGTGTTACAACGCCGCACCTCTTCCCCTCAATCAGCTTCTGTTCTTCGTTTCTTGTCCATTCTTCACACAGCTCCTTCTGATTCAATGGCTTCCGATTATTCATCTACTCCGGTGACTCTTAACAACCTTAATCCAAAGGTATTCCAGCTGTTCTTATACTTTTTTATTTATTTTTTTCTGCTTTTGCCCTTGTTGACTTGCCGGTTTTTAGTTCGACCCAATTTTGTGATTTTCAATCGTTTCCTAGTAATTGATTTCTTTACAAATACATTTAATTAGTTTTCAGTGTAAAATAGTGGTTTACCCTTTTTGCTTTTCACTAATGCTATATATTCGGTTCTTGGTTATAATTCCTCTATTTTGGTCCAACTACCAATTCAGTGTTTTATTTGTCTGTTTTTTTGTGAGTTCGAGTCACCCAAATGGGGAGTTCTTGCAGGTCTGTTGGAAACAGCCTCTCTAACAGGCTCAGTGGTAAGGTCTGCGCACACACTACACTGGGTTGTTGTTGTTGTTGTTTAATGGTTAATATTACTAGGTCTAGACCACTTTAATTATCCTGATAGCAACTGTCAAAAAATTTCTACTACTGGTGAGTGTGACGTCTTTTTTACTATCTTTCCTAAAGTAGGTTCTTTTTATGTATTTGCCCTCTCTGATGTAAGATTTTACTGGTGTTTCTAGAGTCAACTTACTTGATGTAGTTTAACTTATTGTTGGTTTCAGGTTTTGAAATGTGAGTATGCTGTCCGTGGAGAAATTGTCAACCTTGCTCAGGTAGTTTCGGAACTCCATTTTGCACACTAGCTGGAATTATCAATCTGAATTTCAGAATCTTGTTAGTTGCACTTGCACCATTATTTTTATGGGCATGCTTAACCTTACAAATCCAAATAAAAGTACGTTTCCCTTTGTGATGTATCGTCATGCAGAAATTACATCAAGACCTCAAGGATAATCCAGGCTCTCATCCCTTTGATGAGGTACCAACTCTTGTTATAATATTGCAGATTTTAACGGATTTTTCTTCTATCCCTTGTAACAAAGCGTAATATAGGTGACCTGGAGTGTTATTGTTGTCTTGATCTTTTCTTACATTCCTCTAATTCATGCAGATATTATACTGCAATATTGGAAATCCTCAATCCTTGGCTCAGCAGCCTATTACTTTCTTTAGGGAGGTGGGTATAAATTGTTTGATTCTAGATTATGTTTGTTTTCTGTCTCATCGAGCAACGTCTTCCTTTATTAGGTCCTTGCATTATGTGACCATCCAGTTATTTTGGACAAAAGTGAAACACAAGGTCTGTTCAGGTATGAAGTTTGTCTATCAACCTCGCTGCACCTTGTAGCTCAGTGAAACAATTCATGTACCTTAGTTTCTATAGATTTCTGAAGAAGTGGAATTGACATGACTAATTTCCATAAAACCAATGAATTCTCCTGTACGTTTCAAACATGGTACAGTTAAATTTCCTGCTACTGATGGAATCCTTCGTCCTTGATATTGAACGGTAAACAATTTGCATCAAATTTTAATGATTGTATTCTTTTTAATTTTTTGAAGTCAAACTACTAACTTATAAAACCAAGTGATGTTATTGTAATTGATGCAAGTTATCAAAAGTGAACTATGAGGGTGAAGTGAGCCGTCAATATAGGATGAAATGTTTGTGGCATTATTACAAAGTTTTCATTTTTTTTTCTTTTCGATAAATCAACTACCTTTTTTTAATATTACACGAGGATAACAGAATTTTTATAAAAGAGATATAACGCAACAGCTATTTTTGCCTCCCAAAGTCCCGATCAATTATTTAGCTTGTAAATAAGGTTTGTGATAATGTTGCAATCGTCTCTCCATATCAGTTTGCTTTTAATGTTGCATTCCCCTTCTTCACACAAATTGGAAGTTCCTCCTTGTCCATTATCCATAGAATGCCCTGGGCTCACGTAAAAAGTGCAAGTCCCCAAGGCCCAAAGGGAGCATGCAACTCGGGACATTAGGCATAGCCCGGAGTGCTATAGTGTTGGTTTATGATCATAAATCCCTTGCCGTCAGATCACATGTACTTGAGTTTCGTGTCATCTTGGCATATCAAGTAATATTCTTGAGGCCTGACAAAAGTGAAATGTATGGCTTTTAAGCTAATAGATTAATATGATGTGGAGGGTTGTGATGATTGAGAAGCTCTAAGTTGATAACTTAAAATTTCTGATGGTCAACATTTTTAGATAATTGATCTGTTTTATTTGTGCCTAATGCCTATGGGTATTGTTTCAGTTTTAGCTTCAAAATGTAGGCACATTTTGTGGTTTTTGTGAAGTAAAAATTCAATTGGCTATAATCAAACTCTTATTTTTTCCTTATTCTATGAAATCTGTGCAATGCAGTGTCATTAAATTATAGCCATTCACTTTTTGTTTTCAAAACGTTTGTATATTTTAGTTGATAGGTTCTTTTTTTGAGCATTTCCTTTCCCTTAATAGTATGGTGTTGATTATGACTTGCACCCAAATAGAAGCAAAATCCTTTTGCATGGACATTTGTTTGAAACATTGGTTACCAATAAAGGAATATGGTGAAGAATTTGAATCAACTTCAGCCATGTTCTACAGGATTTTGCTAAATAGCATTGTCCTTCTACCTATGATAGGGAAAAGGAGATTTCTGAACTACGTCTCATAGAACCGGTCGGTAACTGCAAGAAATTGATATGTGATGTCTTTCATTCTCTCTTTGTTTTGTAGTGCGGATTCAATTGAACGAGCTTTCCAGATCCTCGATCAAATTCCTGGCAGAGCTACAGGTGCATACAGCCACAGTCAGGTGACTATATCTTCTGTTGTATTGTCCTAGATTTGCAGCCAGTATAACCATAGAACTTACTCTTGTGCTTGCTAAATCTAGGGCGTCAAAGGATTACGTGATACAATTGCATCTGGTATTGAAGCTCGCGATGGCTTCCCTGCTGATCCAAATGATATTTTCTTGACTGATGGTGCAAGCCCAGCGGTAAATTATTTTGATCTCAAATAGTTATTCGTACAGCTTTGAGAGAAGTAACTAAAAGAATAGCAAGATATTGATAATATTGGTTCTTCATCTTCTATTCAGGTTCACATGATGATGCAGTTGCTCATTGGGTCAGAGAATGATGGAATTCTCTGTCCTATCCCTCAATATCCACTTTATTCCGCTTCAATTGCCCTCCATGGTGGCACTCTTGTACGTGCATTTTCTTCAGTTTAAAGTTGATCAGTGCTAGTTGTGAATGCAACTATTAGATCTTTTAATAAAAAAATTAATTAATAGGCTAGGTTAACCTACTTCTGGAAGAGATTATTGTAAACTTTTATTAATGAGAGCTGATCTGATTGACTTACTATTCAGTTGAAGGTGATCCACACAGGAGCCTCTTATGTATGCTTTTATTTGGTATTTTAGGTTCCCTATTATCTTGATGAAGAAACAGGATGGGGATTGGAGATCTCAGAGCTTGAGAATCAGCTGAAAACTGCAAAATCCAAGGGTATTAAAGTTAGGGCTTTGGTTGTGATCAATCCAGGCAACCCAACTGGGCAGGTAATGGTTTATTAGATTTTGGAATTTCATCATTGATTTACGTCATTTAGGAAGAACTTACTGTGGTGGAAAATGCTGGTCTTCCCTTTCCCAATAATATTTCAGAATGTTTATATGTAGCATGAATGGCTTCTATGTATACCTT